GAAAAAGTCGGTCCCATGCCACCGCAAGAGAAGGGAACAAAACGTAAAGGCCCGAAAGGGTATACGTAAAGAATTGAAAATAAATCATTATTTAAAACTCGTGTCCACGTTGCCCCATCCTCCCCTATATCTGAATATTGTTCAATAAAAAAAACATCTCACATGAACCAAGTGAAAGTAGCAATACACTCCACGGATATCACGATAGACATGTCTAATGGCATTCGATGAAGCTAACTCATAATCCAGGGAAACATTTGTCGGTTGAATGAGTGGCGCCAATTGTAACTTAAAATATTGAAAAACAGCTACGTAGGCCTGCTCAGTTTTCCTCGTCATCAACGCCCAAGTAATGGGCACGCACTAAAATATAAGAGATAGAATGTTAAATAGGAAGCGTGCAGTATGCGTTAGTGTATACGTACGAACTTCACTATTCCCTCTGCACTATTAGAAAATGACTCTTGAAATCCAAATATTGGATTTATATGACAGTGATAATAATTGAAAATAGCTTAAATTCAAGCAACTATCTTTCTGACTTGTCAATCTATCGAAAAATTGCATTAAACTTTATTTAATTGGAATATAAAATAACGATCAAAAATGATAACCAGACAATTTCCTATACTTACAGAGTCATCGATCCGTCCCATAATAGTCAAAAATTGATAAATATCCGCTGCACGAGGACAAACTTCAAAAGTGGCATCTATAAGAAGTTCTCGAATATTAGAAATAGATGCAAGGAATTCTGTGTCACCAAATACAGTGACTGAAGTATCGACAGCGACATTGATGGTATGCACTGTCAAGCCGCCACCGGCATATTGTCGATATTTACTCCACTGCGGGAGGTTAATTATCTCATCATACTCCTGTAATGTCCTGGGTACGGGTGGACGATGCTGTTGACGCCATCGCCGCATTGATCTCTCAATCGAAGCCCAAGTGACTATACATGCAGCGTTTTCATAGCTAGAGCAAGCACGTTATCATGAATAGCCGTGATAAGACAGTTCAAACATCTTTATTAATTATTCATTCATCTTGCCAAGTAGTAGTAGTTTTATATTAACCCACTAAGCGGTGTTAAACCTTCGAGAAGAGTTAATACCTTCTCTTTATAAGTGAAAAAATAGTCATCACCGTCCAGCTTGTGAAATTTTTAATTAAATGTCATTCATAATTCGAGTCAACGATAACACGGTTCCAGAAAATACGGGTTCAGTCGCTGTCAAGGATGGGATCGACTTTATTAGCCCCTTCGGAACTATCGAATGTCCCTTCGATTCATACACGATTCAATCCAAAATCTATGAAAAGTAAAACTTTCGATGAGGGTTTCATGTGAGTCCGGAGAATCATTTTATTGCCTATTAGATTTCGCCCCAATTCCATCTTCAATTCTTAAAAATATCACTTTTTGAGACACAACTTATAACAAAAATGTATTTGTTCGTGAAATATTTCGATGACTAACATCAATTTCGAGTCATTTTCAATGGATTGTCCACTTTAAGTATCAATTAGTCAGAAATTATTGCAAAAGGCTGACTTGAATTGATGTGAAAATAATCAGAATTTTATCGATAATTTTAGGTAAAAATTACTGGTCTTTCAAATTAAAAAACTAGTATTGCAAATTAAAACATTGAAAACTCATTAACATTGGATATCTCTCTATATAATCATGAGACAAAAAAAATATATATTCACATTTTTTAATTCGTACAATCTTAACGTGATATTTTATCACGTAACTTATGTAACATACCCGCTGAATTACAATATAACTTTGTCAATCTCTATCATGGACATGAATAATTACGTTGAAAAAAAAACATCACGTTTTGTAGAATAAAAAGTCTTCGCGTGAGAATATTTATTTCATTTTTTTAACTACTGATTCATTATATATCCGATGTTTATGTTGCCAAAAATTATTAACGTAGAATATTCCTGGGAGCGATAATTACATTATTACTTTATATTATTATTACATTATTTATCGTCTGTACAATATTTATTTAGCCTTTTCTTACCCAGCTTTGAGCCAATGAAAACCATTGCATGCAAAGATCACACTGAAAAAAATCACATTAAAAAAATTCCAGTTCCAATTGCACGAAAACATTTTCAGATATTCCTCTTAAATGACGTTTTCTGATCTACAGAAATGGGGATATTAACGTTTTTTTTGGTTTCTATTTTAGAGATGATAGAATATCGAGGAACTACGAGAATGCAGAACAAATTGCTATTGGTAAACAAATGTCTCTGTTATTAGTACGTGGGAGTTGTATAGATATGTTCCATTAAATCTGATCAAATCTTCGTGCTTCTATCAAGTTATCGGGTATGAACTAAAGAATATTCGTTCGTGTATACAATTTTATTCTGGATGTATTCTATAACAACATAACAACTCGAGTGGCAATACTTCACAATGTGTATTTAATGTCAATGATTTCACGTTAGAAAGATTAATTGTTTATAATAAAAGAAAATTACAAATTGACAATAGAAATAGTAATTTATTTTATAATTTGGTGAGATACATTTGGCTAGCGATTGTCATTTACTCGTAGTCGTGGATTTATGGTTATCTCTATTTTTCATTCGAACTTACGTTTGGAATTTCTCCTGTTATTTTCATTTTTATGTTGGTAATTTATGCCCAACCAATGTTTTGGTTTTTGGTGATTGTCATAACCCTGTTGATTGTTGTGGGCGGTACCAATGGATTTTTATGTATTATCATATATATCATTAATAAACGAGAAGCTTTTACTAGATAATTGAGTAATTTACCAATCAATTCAGTTGCAATTAAAGGTGATCGTAAAATCGATAATATATCAAGTTACTCGCGTGACAATTAAATAATAAATAAACATGAATACACACAGGAATATTCTAAGTTAATAGTTTTTTGTAACATAAACATCAGATATATAATGAATCAGTAGTTAAAAAAATAAAATAAAAATGATCACGAGAAGACTTATTATTCTATAAAATGTAATGGTTTTTTTTTTCAATTTCATTATTCATGTCCATGATAGAGATTGACAAAGTTATATTGTAATTCAGCAGATATGTTACGTGAGGATGAACCCGGGAAAAAAGGGTAAAATATCATGTTAAGATTGTACGAATTAAAAAATGTGAATTTTTTTTTTCTATGTTTCATGATTCTATAGAGGGATATCCGATATTAATGATTTTTCAATGGTTTAATTTCCAATACTAGTTTTGTAATTTGAAAGACAAAAAAAGTAAGAATCATTACGATTGAATTCATTCATGACCGATATATTGCATTTTTCTTTTTCGATATTCCACCCTTTCCCTGCCATATATCCGGTATTGAATATTCCGCGTTTTCCAAATCAACAAACTTCCGGGTCATGATTCAAAACAAATTATTTTTTTTTAAATAATTACTATTTAAAAAAAAACATTTTGCTGGATAAATCCCGTAAAACTGTATCAAATATAGTAAGTGACATCTCAATTTGGTGGTTTTTTCGTGCTCCTCAAGCGGGTTGAAAAGAAATTTCTTAGCTCTAAAAGGGCTTTGGATATTAATAATAATGTGTAAAAAACAAATTTATTTAAAAACCGCAAACTTTCAAAACATCCTAACTGCTGTGATTATCAATATTTTTTTACGATTGTCTTACAAAAAATACGTCCCCCATGTCCAACTTTTTAGAAAAAACGTGGTAAGAAAATCAGCGATATCGATTTTTTTGGCTTTAGAATTTGACATGTAATTACTCAAATGGAAAATCTCAGAGCTTGAAAGCTATTATAAAATTGAAAAAAATTTTAGTTCAGTTAGTGGTAGAACATTGAAAGGAGATTCTGTGGGAAATGTAACAGGAGAAATATATTTTACTTACTTGGAAGCCAAGTTAAGGTAAATTGACCTCAGCTCTTCCTCTGTACTTATGACTTCCAACCATAATCTGTCCTTAAATTCATCGCTGCGAATATTCTGATGAGATGCCCCATGCTCATGACTTGTTGTTAAGACAAACTGCCCATCATTATTGTCAATGTAGCCTTTTGCTGGACAACCCAATTTTTTTTGTTGTGAGCATACGTAAAATCTGAAAAATAATGATTAATACGCAATATGAATGATTACTCCAATAAGAGGTTGCGGGGAAAAAAGTCTTAAAAAAAAATACAATATTTTTTTAGGGGGAAAAAGTATGAAAATAGTATACAGAAGGGATAAACAATCTGTCCTTTTTTTTCTCTTATTTTTCTCATTTTTCCATTCCCTCTGTATCCTATTTTCATAATTTATCCCCCCAAAAAAATATGAAAAAATGGTACATGGAAGATAAACAATGTTTTTTTTATTCTTATTTTTCTAATTTTTTAATTTCTTCTACATCCTATTCTCATAATGAAAAAAAAATGATTACGCTGAATTTAGCTTTAAAACGAATAAAAAATCACTTAAAAGTGCTATACCTTCGCGAAAAATGGATCGATTCAATTGTGCTTTGACTTGATGTGTTCACCGTGATGTCCTTTACAATCACTGATCATCCGTCTTGATGAAGATTAAAAATACTATTTTTCAACGGCTAAAACATATTTCCAAATACTTTACCAATGGAAACCGGGAAAACTGGTAGTGCTTCTCAAAAAAACCGAAACGAGCGTTTTATCCACAGAAAAGTTGTGGGGAGTTGGGGGGAGTTGTGCATTTTTTCAAAATTTTAATTTTCATTACGGTAATTTCCAAAAGAGTGAAAAAACTTTGCCAATCTCTACACTCCGACTGGAGCGTTCGAATGCTACCAACGACCGCTCATTTCATTCTCCAAATCATACTCCAGAGGGAAGATGAATTTTTTTTTTAGGTTCAATTTATTTTTAATCAATTTTTGAATTATATAAAAGAAAAATCAATGAATTGATAACACTACCACGAAGTATCATTTATAATTTTCGTAGTTTTTCTCTGTAATCAATATTTATGTATTGATCCAAATCAGATCTCACTGGCAGAGCATTTTCTGCAAGTCTTTCGAATCGAATTAGGCAAATTCACCAGTAGATGAACGCATGAATTCAGTATTCAAATTCTGAATATAAGAGAGAGTGGAGGGAGATGGCCTATTTGGACTTTTTTGAGATACTCATAACTCAGAAACAAATCAACCAATTGAGATCAGTCTGGGCTCATAAGAATTTGTATATATCTTGTAAATATCTATATATATATATATATATATATAT